AATATGGTTAAATATAATACTAAATCTATATTTATAAACATATTTTTTATTTAATATTTGTATCTATAAAAAAAATGTATAAACATAACTCCTGTTTTATATATATTTTTATATATGATCTTTCTCAATAAATGTTTAGAAATCGGGATTTTCAAATTTTTCATACTTTTTTCTGTAAAAGTATTGGAACAATTTATATTTTTTGATAAAATTCTTGATTCAATTTTATTTTTAAAATCACAAGATTAAATAGATAAGATAACAATTTCAACTTTTGTTTTCTCGTATTTTTTTTAGTGACAATTTTTAGGACATAAAAAATTGCATGGTTATAATTAAATATCGGGTGCCTTTTTTGTAAATTGTTTTGTTATATTAAAGTAATTCCGAGATAAAATTTGAAATAATTTTTAAAAAGCAACATTTTTCAACCCAATACATATTTAATAAACACAAAGACGTTAAAAATGAAACCTTTTTTGGTGAATGTATATACCTGATATTTTTTCAAAAAAATCTAGAAAATGGCAAAAAATAACGAAACGATATTCCAAGGAAACAAAGAAATTAAATAAAATAAGTTAAAAAAGGATGTAAATAGAATGGGGAGAAGGTTCTTCCCACATATAAACAAAAAAATCATTTTTAAAAAAAAATGAATGATGAGAACAACATTGGACACAAGAATAATATTCAAAAATTCATTTTAATTTTATTTAAATTGTTCAATCGTTATTTTTTTTTATTTAGATTTTTTCTTTTTTTTTTGTAAACTTATTTATACAAAATTATTTTTATCAAATTTCACTTATCCATTATTGAAGTTATACAAAATAAGGAAAAAGCCATATATTTATAGAATTTATAAAATAAATTGTCAGAAGAAGTTTTTTTTAGCGGAAAACAAAAACAAAATTTATTAAGCTCACAAATACAATTTTTTGGCGAAATATCATTAGGAGACAGGTTATTTCAATTTATTTTAAGGAGGTATATTTTGAAAACAAAGGACAAATCATATTTAAAAATAAGAATAAATTTTAAATTAGCTTTAAATACAAAACCCAATATTTTCTTTTTGAAAATAAAAATGGAATCGCCAATAAATAAAAGGGTTAAAATATATAAAATAATTTAAAGTCATTTAAACCTTATTTTATTCTTTTGATAACTGGGATAATAGGTAAGATTATTGACAAATTTATTTCTGCCATCAATTACGTCAGAAAAAATATAAAAAGCCAATTCAACGAGATAAGTTTTAAGGAGTTTTAGTATATCTTCAAGGATACTTTTTACTATAAAATTCCATTTTTCAATGTCCTTCTTTGAAATAAGGATGAGAAGGGATACATTTAGTATAGACCTGGGAAGAAAAATATAAAGACAGGGGTTCCACCTGTCTCAAAAACAGTCTCAAAATGAATTCATGAAGTTTATAATCATTAGTGGATTAAAAAAATTTTTATTTATTAAAATAAAAATCTCCCCGATCAGAATGACAAAAGTTTGTAGTTATTAAAATCTGGCCTATTAAGTATTAAAACCCAGGTCTTGATGTATCTTGAAGAACTTTTAATTGAGGTGGTTGGACCTACCTCAAAACTTTCAATGCAATTTAGATTTTATGCCGGATTTCTAGAATATCGTCATACCCAGGTTGCCCCTAACAATGTAATTTCAAAAGGATTACCTAATCCGACAAAAGAGTTGATTCACGCCCAAAAAACCTTCCTGGGTATCGATCAGAGGCCTTCTTGCCGGATGTAGGATATCGTCATAAAGGGGCTCCCTAACAGATTTAAAAGGTCAGGATGTACCTGGGATGGACAAAAAAGAAAATGAAACTCTCAAAATCTGGAATCTCCCGATTAGTGCGTACACATGCTAACGGAACAGTTATCGTCATTTGAATTAATCCTAGATTTTCAACTCTGTAATTGATTTCATATTCCACACCGGTAATTTTCCTCACCAGGTTTTTTGAACTGTAACCAGCAGTTCGTTTAATAAATGAACATTTAAAGCTTCTACAACGTTATGTTTTTTCGTACAATTCTGTGTAAAAATGTTTAATGTCTTTTAGGATAAGTCCGTATAGATTGTTATCAGTAAGAAATTAGTCTTTATGCCAGAATAATTTAATTTATAAAGATATTAGAAAGAAAAAATTGATTAATATGAAAATTTTAATTATCTGCGGAAAGCAATATTTTCTGGATTAGTAAGGAAATCTAATCCGCTAAACATTTGCTTATTCGGAAAGTTTAGAATCATCGCGCTGGCACTAATATCTACATTAAAATTTCAGCTACGAAAAGTCTTTCTGTTTCAGAAAATTAATTAAAACAAACAAAATTTTAAACAAATTTTTTAAGGGATAATCATTACAACGTCTTTCTGTCTGAATTTCTGAGATGAGGAGTTACCATTATTTATATTCAGACTCATGTCTTCATCTTTGTTGTTGTTATCACAATGTTTCAGCCATTGTTCCCTCTGGCATTCTTCAGGTGCCTCTTAATCATTTTAAACTTCAGGGAATTTTGAACCAAACCTTTAATTTAATCTAAGTGTATTATTCTTGTTCTACTGTCCATGTCTAGAGATATCTCATTCTTATTTAGAACTTATCTGTATCTTGTATATTTTATTTGCAGTTATTACTCAACCTGTTTCTACTTGCACTTACGTTGGTATGGTACTATCCAAGTAGGGAATAAAAGGTTCAGCATGAAAATCCATGATGCTTACCAAAATCAACAGACAACTGAAATGTTGACATAATAAAGACAACTGAGGTCTTTCTGTCTGAATTTCTGGGATGACGAGTTATTTACACTATTTACATGTGCACTCTTGGCCCCATATTTGTTGTTGCAGTCACAATGTTTTGACTGTTTGGAGGGAAAAGGCTAGTCATCAGCCCCTGTGAAATGAAGTGAAAATACCAAACACGTTAGACGTCTGAAAGAATCGGCACATAAGCTAGGCTATAAGGATCTTCTTAGTAGGCCTAGCATAGAAATAAATACAATATGGGATCTGATAATAAAGAAAGAAAGACAAATGATAGCAAGTATTCAACAGCAGCTGTAACAGAAGAAAAACTTCAGTAAGTGCAGTCAAGTGTCATTGATATTTATCAGCAGCCAGGTCAGGTTTAAGGCTCCAAGTTTTCCACAGAGAATTGTCCCATGACACAATAGCCAAGTGGATTAAAGCATTGCTTCATGAATTTGCTGATACAGTAATTCAGTCCCTCAGCCAGCCAGTATGTACATGGACTCAATGATAACAAGGCATTACTACATTTATATCCACCTGATGAAGCCCAGAGGGCTAAACGAACAAAATATTGTAACAACAAGTTTTAAACTTAAAAAAAAAAATACTCCTTTCTTATTGTTACCTTTTGTCAGAACATTTGATGTATTTTTTTCACTCCTTGCTTTCAATATATCTTGTGAGTGTTGAATTTTCCTAGCCTCATTCCTTGTGTGTCCTAGAAATTTCAAGCATCTCTTTCTGATTCTACATAACTTCCATGTTCATATCAAGATTCTTTTCCTGCATGCATTTTTATTTGCAAATAACTTTGGGGAAAGTATGAATCCACCTCCTCTTCTCCCAGCTCTGGATTAAATAGACGTGTATCAGAAAATTCTTATCTCAAAAAATTCTCAAATGTGTTTCAGCGTTAAATAACCTTAAAACGGTTGGTAAGCCAGAAGAAAAAAAAAATCAATTGTTCAATTCTAGAGAATATTGCACTAATAATTTTTCTGAGAATAACAATGATTTTTCCAGGTAAAATTCTTACTATTTAACCCATAGTTGGGAGGAGAAGATGGGCATTTTTTTTGCAGAAAGTGCATAATCTGGTATGATCACCAGTTTGAACACAGTCAGTACACTCAAATGTTCATACATTTTTTTATTAAATAAAATCAGATATGTACATATTTGATTATAAACAATTGCTTGCCAGGTGAAAGATGTTTTTTTTTTATAAAACAGATTCTTTTTTAATAAAAAACAAATGCATATACAAGCAAATGTATTAAAAAATATGCATATATGAATGATAAAAGCAAGGTTTCAAGGAACAACTTTTAAAACAAACAGCTAAACTCTGTAAAAGTCAATGGTTGATAATATGAACACACACACACACACACTTCTAAATGGATAATTTTTTTTTTCTGACAAATGTCACAGCTTGAGGAAAATCTGATTAATGCTTATCTACAAAAATTACTTCCCCAAAAAGGTTTTACATATTTTTTTTTTCTTTTTTACAAGTGGACCAGACTATTGAAGTGGTGCTAAGTACACTTTTATCTTCAGGAAGTGGATTTGTATCTTTATCAGTGACATTAGTATGAAGTTATTTATAAGCAACTTTGGCTAAAATTTGAGGTTCAGGTTTTAATTTGAAAAAAAGTATGTTTATTTGTAACTTAGATTGGCAAAAGGCCAAAGAATGGAGCAATTGTCTGCCATAAAAATCTGTTTTCAAAATTCTGGGATTCACCACTGACACTAATGAAGAGTACACCTCAGCCCCTTGGTGGAAAAAAAAAATTAAATTAAAAAACACAAAAAAATATGCATACATCAATGATGTAAGCACAGTTTCAAACTTGACATTTATAAATAAAAATATATTTATATATAAGTCCAGTAATTCTTAAAAATAAGTCAGGTAGCAATTTGACACGGTATTGATATCATGAACAAGACCCCTGCCTATACACTTCTTGTTCAATAAAAACCCCAAATTCTTCAGTTCTCATAAATGTCAGGAAAAGTGTAATGAATACTAATCTACAAAAAGTATTTCTCTTGGTGGGGGGGGACCACTCTATTTAAGTAGTGCCTAATAAAGCTTCCTTGCAGATCTCCTGACCATTTTGCTTTATTGTCCTTTTATAATAACTTAAATGTTTCTATTCTTTACTGGTTTTTTTATTTTTTTTTTTTTGTCCTTTTAATAGCCCCATGTATGGCGCTCAACCAAACTGTCATCCGATAAGATGGAAGCCTTAAAAAAAGCTCTGAACTGTTATTCGCAATGTTGTCCTGATGAAGTTTGTGAAAAGGTAAGTGACTTGTTTTTGTGACTTGAATCAACTTCTATTGTCCCTGGGACCACAGTATTAATATTGTTGCTCCGGGTATCTGCTATAAAGAAATGATTATATTACTCAGCTTTTAAACAGTTGCTTGAGATTTCAATTACTACTATACTAACTTTCAGAATTAAAAAATTTAGTTCATTACGTAGAGTGAGATAATTTTTCTCACCAGAATCTATCTTGCACTTTTAGAAGTGTATGATTTATCCATGCACTTGTTGCCATATTTGGTCTGGGGCTTCTGCCATGTATTTAGAGATTCTTGACAAAGAAAAATCTGCAATGTTATCCATCCTGACATTAAATGCAACTTCAATGCTGATTTAAATGGCCAAAACTGCTTAAATAAGTGAAACTAGTTAAGCGTTTCTTAAAATTAACTGCAAATCGGAGATACCAAAAACAAACAAATACAAAAATTTAAATCTCTGGAAAGTGTTTTAGCAGAGACCAGAAAGTATGACACTGAAGCCCAAAGGCGCGTTGAGATAGATGCTCTCCAGAAACTAAGCAGAGGATTAGTTGGTTTACTTTGTTGAGCAGCATATCAACACCTCTATGGGTTATTTAATGCCAAAATCTACATATTTTGTACATAATTTTATACTTTCAGGTTAAAGTTTTGTTTTATACATACATATATATATATATCTTTGAAGGGCAGAAATCTTTTGGAGAGCCTGAGGAAAAACATTCAGCTCTATAAAGTGGTTGATTGTAATGAACGGCAGATTTTGGAATATCTACTGGAACATTGTGAAAACTGTACTGAATATTATTGTATTGCTCCTGGATGTAATCTGACTGACAAGTGAGTCTACTAAATGATTTTTTATCACTTACAGATTAATTATTAAAGACACTAAATTTATCTAATTAATTCACTAGCTCATCCATTCATTTACGCATCAGCATTCAAGCCCAGATTTTAAGAAGATTCATTATATATTCCAAGAGCTTATTGAACAAGTGGTCTTTTTTTTTTCCTAATGATTTCACTCCAAGCAAGGCAATAAAGCCACTAAGACATGATGGTGTAACTGATTGTTAGAGAATATCAGAAAAATACTATTACAGAGAGAGAACAATAAAAGAACTAGAATTAAGAAGACAGAAGATAATGATTGACATTGCATTTAAATTTTTGATGATCAAAGCTGACTGGGAAGCAATAAAACACGAGAGTTCCACAAGCAAGAAGTGCGATAGAAGAAACTGTTAGCATAAAACTTACGGATACATTTAACCATTTCAACTGTAAAGTAATGAGACCTAACCACCAATCTAGTACTGCACTTAAATTCATAAAGTCTAGTTACCATAGAGGAAAGTTCATCAGAACAATTAACATTTTTTTTTTACTGTCCTTGTATTAACAAAAGGAAAGTTTAAGACAAAAGTTTCTTTTCCTAGCAGTAAACTGTATACAAAACAAAATCTTAATGAATGTATTATCGTGTGAGTTACCTGTCTAGGTGTATTTGTAGGTGAATCGTTGACAGGCCTTTTTACTTCAGTGTGAAAAGTTCATGTTGTAAACTTCAAAAGGGGAAAACTGGAAGAGAGTTACTATAAAGGTTTGCATTGTTTTTATACTCCCAGGGCATCTGTTGCTGCTATGTTTATTAAGAAACTACAGTATTAATGATTGGCAACTTTAAAAATAATTTATTTTCAACATTTTCAAAAGAAATGAATTCAGCCTTGTTAAGATAGAAGTCATGGTCCAAATGCAAAATAAATAACACAACTGTCCAAACAAACAGAATTAATAATATTTGCAATAGAAAGAAAGAGGGACAAAAATTAGATGGCATCAGGTAAACAATATAAGTAAATTCACAGGTAAGAAATCAAAAAGGTTTATGAACCACAAATTAGTGGCCACACAGAAAAGCTAGGTCAGACAAGTAAACCCAATGATCTTCCATATAGACAAAGTAGATCTGGACTGAGTCAATATATAAAACGACCTATTTTATTGATTAACAGTGGGGAGGGGGGAACTTTTGTAGTCATTCCATGCAGATTAGAAATCAACAAACATGGAGACGATTTTTATACATGTATTTTTATATAAAGAACAATTTGGTTCAAAAAAGATTTACTTCATTGGTGGACCTAGGGAAAATAACCATGCACTAGCAATGATATGCTTTTATCCCTGTGGTGTTTCGTCTTGGAGCAAGGAGAAGAAAAAAAGAAAGGAGGAATAAAATGTTTGTCTTTTATAGACTTAAACAATGCCAGGAATTTGATGATGCCAAGTAGGGGTAATAAAATTTTCAGATCCCTTATTACTAGCAGTTTGACAAAAATGTATTTCTTTTATTTTATTCATTATTATTACTATTTTATTTAGTTTTAATTTTCCCTCATGTCTAATGAAGTCCGAACAAATAAAATGCATTACATGAAAACTTTTTCTACTTTGTTATAATTTTTTTCTCCCAAAAATGTATGTCTATACAAATTTGACTATAATCTTTATATGCTTAGCTATAATGTGTGTGCGTCATGTAGTTGTGTGAAATTGAGTAGTTGGTTTGCATTGAGAGTGTCTCACCTGAAGAAAAGTCTACTGTTGTTACCACAACCCAGAGCCAAAAGTGAAGGCAAGATGTCCCTTCTTTATATAGACCTGAATAACAAGTTCAGGTAATCCACCCAAGTACTAGAGTTACATGATGGTGTTTCAATATAATAAATTTACTTTTGTCATTATGGATAGTATTAGTTTTAGTTATCTTTGACCATTCATGAAGTTGGCTTTCATCACTTAAAGGTAAGGGAAGCTGACTCAATGTCCACTTTATCTGAGAACTGAATTAACAGGTTTTGTTCTTTATAAAGAAACAAATCTCCACGCACTGTTGCCAAAAGTTCTCATTGAACTTTTATAGAAAGGTAGAACACGTGTCAAAGGTCAAAGAACGATTGATCCTGGAATCTTCAATTTGGTTAATTTTGCAGGATCAGGCTAACATTTTTTTTTCTCTCTTTATTTAAAAGAAATGAAAAGAACGATAAATTCAAGGAAGATAACTTTTAATACTCGTGTCAAAAAAAGGAAAATACGGTTATCTCCCTTACTACTACAAGCTTTTCCACATATAATGATCAGCTTTTTTGCTAATTGAACTTCAGAGATATAGCATTATCGTTATTCCAATGTTTATCAGAGTCAGCTAATGTTTCTTTATTTATGCTTAAGTAAAAATAAAACCTTGCAGAATCAAATCTGTCTTGACCTTTGGCAAATATTCAACATTTTATTTATATTTTAATAATATACACACACACACACACACACAAATATATATATGTATATATATATATAATGTACATAATATGTGTTTGCAGCTGCAAAAAGTATATTTGTAAGTATACATATATGTATATTGTATGTGTGTGTATATATATATATATATATATATATATATATATATATATATATATATATATATATATATGTGTGTGTGTGCACACATGCACATCATCCCAGACAATGTTTCACTGTATCACAGCTTTATCAGTGTGAGTAGACATTTGATTGCTTCAAGCCAGGATCAAAACTTGACAGATTTGACATCAGTCAAAGGCCCTTACCCCTAGGCTATTGGCACATGGCAGAGAAAGAGAATTTTTTAATGCATTATATATGTGCTATATAAATGACAGACAGGCCGCCATAGCACTCAATTCTTACAAAGAGCGATGTATTAAGGCAGCAACAGCCATTAAAAATTCCCTTTTCTAAATAGTTCTTAAGCCATTAAGTACATATTAATAAATATGAATATTATCCCTCAACAATTGCACAACTCAGTTTCATGCACAACACAATCTTCAGGTGCTGAATATAGACTGTAATGCAATTTAAATTTTTAAAAATAACTGGCTTTTGCAATGTTGACACAGTTATATATGATATTATACTGGGATTACAGATTTTTAATTTTAAAAATTATATTTGGCATATAAAATAAAGAGGATTTATGTGTGTGTATATATATATATATATATATATATATATATATTACTGCTACCAGCAAGCAGAAATATTTTTTTCCAAAGATGATGGCCATGTTGGCCGAAACTAGTCGAGGAATCTAAATGAAATTATAATAATAAAAAAAACGAAAGAATATTAATCTACAATCCAGTGTGTCTGGAGATTTTAATTTTTTAATATTTTTTTTTTTATTGTTCATATATATATGTAAAAATTTAAAAAATAAATTATTTTAGATTTGTGAATATTAATTTTTTGCATTACGTATAAAGGGAGATTACTTGTTCTTTAAAAAAAACGTTACATTAATAATTAATCTGGATCAATGTATTTAAGCAGATATTTATTTTTATGCCTACATGTAACCATCAATTCAGTTCTCTTGTTTAACCTTTACCACACTAATTTCTTTATAGAATTGTCCCCCCTGCTACTGCATTTTTTAGAGTGCACAAAAAGATATTTTTTACTGATTTAAAATTATTAAAACTTTCTTTGTAATTTGTGTATAGATTTTGCATTCTAATAAAAGAATAGATGAGTAATATTTTGATTCTGTCTATATTTCTGAGATGAAAATAAATGTAATTAAATTTAAATTATTTGGACTATTATCCTCATCTTTGTTTTAAAGGCAGTGGAAATTTTCAGAGGGAAATTAGCAGGAGATCTTCTGATAACTGACATCCATCAATTTTATGGCAAATGGACCTAGAACAGTCTACCCCAGTGAGCAAAATAAAGGGTTCAGTTTGAAATTCCAACCACCTGAATATTATGGAAATACAATGGCCAAAACATTGTGATAAATATGGCGACAAAGATGAGGACAATAGTCTGAATAATGGAAATAATGTAATATTTTGATGTAATGCATTACATTTTGCATGCATGTTTTGACATTGAAAAAAAAAAAAAAATGAAACCCAAAATAAAAAACAAATACATTAACAAGTACATAAACAATTCAACAAAGTTTTTTTTTTTTTTTTTTCCTTGTAGAGTTCTGGAAATTGCAAAAAGCAAAATCATTTAAATTTTTTAGTTTGCCAAAAATGTGACATTCTTCCTTGTGTTTGCATATGAGAAGACACCAGCATTTTCTTGCTCTTTCTTTCACCTCTCATATTTGTCTCAATGATAAATAAAGTTATTTCATTGTTTATAGACAAAATAATTCACCTTCAGAAAGGCTATCAGGTATATTGATGTTCGCCAGTAGCTTCCATAAAATTATTCAGCCATGGATGATAGTAGCCGTTTGGTATCCAGTAGTCATCATCGGCTTTCTCCACGTCACTAGCATAGTTATCATCTTCGACCACTTCACCATCAATATCCACTTGAGTAAAGCCTTCAAAATCATCATCAGAGTTTGAATCATACAGAAACTCCTGAATAAATTCATTGGATATTGATGTGGCCATTTTTGTTTACAAAATATCACGAAAAAATTAACGTGGGTTTAATTGATGTTATACCTCATATAGAGTATAAAGAAATTCAAAATGGCATCAGAATATGTAAGTTTAGCCTTATTCCAAGGCAGTATTAGGTGATTTCCAATTTAAAATACTGGAAATAACAGTTGACAAGTGTTTCTTTATAGCAACTGTCTCAAGGTGACATAATGCACCTAAAGCAGCAAAAGGAGAGAATTCGACAGCAACAAATTTTTGCCTCCAGTGTCATAAAGATTAATAAGCTAGGGTTATTTTACTGTTTTAAGATAACCAATTTATCAACAAGACATAAATTACATCTATTTCCTTTTTCGCTATAAGATTTGGCTCTTGCTACAATGACCCAGATGATAAAAGCTGTATTACCATCATTCTTAAATAGCCAGAAATATTTAGAGCAATGTTGCTTTTGTATTTTATATTGCTTAAAGTCATTCAATGATGGTAGAACTGAAATTTCTAAGTGTTTTCAGTGGAAGCAAAATAAAATCTAGCATCATTATCAGAATGTGTGCTAGCTCAGTATACAATATTATCAGTCATACATTGACTGTTTAAGGGACTGATCATATTTTTTCAGCAGTTGCATTTATTTCTTAAAAAATTAATGTTGTCTTTGTGGAAAATATATTTGTTTAATATAATGTTATGTTGGGATATAGATATATCTATGTTATTAATAGCTGATCTTGACATTATTTTTGTTAGAAATCTTTTTCTAGGGTTGGTGAATGACTAAAAAGCTTATGAATTAAATTTCGGAAAATTCTCCTGATATTGGAATATTACAATTAAATGGTGGATTAAACCATATGATATTAGCCTTAAAGTGTTTCTGCTTATTTTTACCTTTGTTTTTTTTCTAAATACGAAATTTACTTTTTATATGCTTAGGTCTAAAGCCTTTATATATTTAATTTTATTATGAAATATTTCCTTATTGCTGGAAAATATATATATATATATAGACATTTTAAAAATAAATTCTAGTTTTAAATAGGAATTTAGACATACTCAATGAATACAGTTCCTACAAAACAAGAACTCTACAAATTTTTAAATCATTAAAAAACAATTAGAAAAAACTGTTAGATTTCATCAGTAATATAATACATGTGGAAAAAAACAATTTCGTTTTTCATTTAGAAAGAACACAGGTCTGTCAGAAAAATCTGATTTTTTTTTTTTACATTTTCCTCATCATGCTTCTATTTTGTCAAATGGCCTAATAAAATATCAACATTATTATTTTTATCATCATTATTATTATTTTTATTTTGTCTCTAATTTCATTCATTGGACTACTATACCTATATATGTAACATTTCAGATATAACTAAAATATATATCAGTAAAAGGACAGTATAAATAAAGACAAAAGGAACACTTACCCATTCTTATTGTTCCATCCTCTACTTGTGTTTATAAAGGCAAATGTATGGATTTTATTTTACAACAAGTATTTATAGTAAAAATGTTGGTTTTTTAAAATTTAACAAACACTCCTAAATATTCATCAGGTTAATTAAAAAGCCTAGGCAAATTATGGATGATGCTAAGTAATATAATTTAGTGTCTAATAAACGACAATAAATTTTTTTCTTTTCATGTAATATTTAAATTATTTTAGTTTGGGATTAATTTGTGTTATATATTTTGAATGACATGAGGTTATGGATGTAACCATTTTCTTTTAATTTTTTACCATTTTTGTAGACATGTATATTGGCTTGGGAAAAGAGTAATTCTTTCAGGAACAGAGATATTTGAAAAAAATCCAGAGTACAGATTTATATTTTGATAAGTTTCAATAGAGGAAAATCTTGATAATTTTCTCTTTTAATAATTGTGGAATTCCTTAGATCAAAGTTACAGTTGAACTTATTTCTATGTATGACTGATACATTTAATAAATTGCTTTGAGTAAGATCCATTTTGTGTTCATAGATACTTCTTTTTTTTTTCTTTTTTTTTTTTTTAAATCCTTGCAAATTTTTCCATTGTCTTGTGAGGACCAGACTCTTTTCTTCAACATCTCTTGCATTGGCCTCCTAAAATCAACTGAGACTATGCAACATTCTTTAAACAAACCTTCCCAAATTATTGTTATATATATATATATATATATATATATATATATATATATATATATATATATATAATTATTTTTTTAAAAAAATTATAACATAAATATGTTATAAAAAATCACTAAAAAAAATAGCCATTTTGTTTCAACATTTTCTGTGTCTTATCAAGTGATGATGTTGAATGTAAAATAAATGGTTTTAAAAGTTTCAAATTAATTAACGATCCTTCACTAAGGGGAAAACGTTGTTACAAAAGCTAGAAGGACCAATCAAAATACAAGTATAGGAAAATTCAAAAAGCTTGACAACAAAGTCATGTTATAATAGCTATTCAGATCTTTTAAAATATGGGTAATATAAAAAAAAGAATTTATTCTAACCAATAATTATTAAATTATATGATAAAATTTGATATTAAAATTAAAAACTACCAATTTTAAAATCCAAATTTAATCACTATTAAGTTTAAAAATTATAAAATTATGATGAGAAAAGGAAAAATATATATGTTATTCAATTTATTTCTTCATTGAAATTACATTAGAATAGATACAATACATCCGGTCATCTGACAATATATATGTATACATTTTAATCCCATTTTTATTTATGTGAATGGGGTCCTAAACTCACGCGTGCAAAACAACAAAAAAACAATCAGAATACATAAGATTATAATTTATATAATACCCAGACATATTTATATATATATACACAAAAAAAGTGACGATTACAGGAATATCTAAAAAACAGCCCTTTTGAAAAAAAAAAAAAAAAAAAAACCAACACATATATATATACACAATTCGAAGTGAATGCACTTTCCATACACATAGACACCGATATATACATGTACACACATTCACAGACATTGACCTAGACAATCAGATACCACAACCAATAAATATAAATAAATTGTTGATTATTGGAATTCATTCCGTATATACCAATTATATATATATATATATATATATATATATGTGTGTGTGTGTGTTTCACTAAAGATGACTGACAAGGTACTAAGTTTAAGCTTTTTATTTAGTTTTTTTTTTCCTTTTCTGGACATAAAGTATGTAAAAATTGTCTGAATGATTTCTGTGTCTAACCACCTTCAGCTATTCAAATAAAAAACAAAATAAAATGACATCCTAAAAGCCATTATTAAGGACGTTTTTTTTTTTTTTTTTTAATTTTTAATTCTTACTGAATGTAAATTTTTTATTCATTATACATAAACATCAACACCCTGCAGGACAGTCTGTTTCATGCTTAAACACAATCAAACAGGCTTGACAAGTATGTTTAAGCCTGGAACTGATTGTTGTCACAGGGTGTTGACTTCAATGTCCACTTTTATATTTACATACACTCTATCCTTGATATTGAGCACCCATGAATATAGCATACCGTAAAACTATATTTTTATGATATTTAATGAATTTACCAATAATAATTTATTTGGTTTCTTTTAGGTCTGTGGATTCAATTGCAGAACTAATTGATCGTATCAATAATAAGAATTGTCTGGAACTCAAATATTCCCCAAGCGCCAAGTTTTACAGTGTAAGTATTTCATAAATAATTTGTTAGTCTCACTTTGAAAGTTAAGTTAGATGTCAGGTTGGAATGGAACTCTTAGATGGTGCTGCTGGTTTTCTCAGCAGTGAAAATGTTGCTCAATTTGTTTTTCATAGATGGAACTATGGAAATAATCTGATCTAATAATTCTATGAGCTCCAACATAACAACATTATAGTAAAACAAATATATTTTCCACAAAGACATTAATTTTTTTAAGAAATAAATGCAACTGCTGAAAAAATATGATCAGTCCCTTAAACAGTCAATGTATGACTGATAATATTGTATACTGAGCTAGTATACATTCTGGTAATGATGCTAAATTTTATTTTGTTTTCGCTGAAAACACTTGGAAATTTCAGTTCTACCATCATTGAATGACTTTAAGCAATATAAAATACAAAAACAACATTGCTCTAAATATTTCTGGCTATTTAAGAATGATGGTAATACAGCCGTTATAAAAAAAAAATAAACAAATCATTTTTTCAAATTAGTAGTAAATTGGCATTACTATTTATTTTATTTCATTTGGAAGTGGCTTGACTGCACGAGTTGCTGAAAAGCTGTCAGTGTTAACATTTAACCGCCTTCAGGGCTCAAATTCAAGTTTTCTGTTTGGATTTACTTAGCAGTAGTGTTTTCCTTCTTCTGGATGGACTGGGCTGTCAAGCTTCATCTCCCTGAAGCAGATGGTTACAAGGTACCAGTTTTCCAGCACTAATAGTGTGCTTCCTCAGGCAATGGTAAAAAAAGGTGGAGAATTTTGATCACGATAAAATGGGGTTTGAAATATAAACCTAGGCAAGGTCATGAGTGGCAGAAAAGAACTTTCCCTCATTTTTTTTTTTTTTTTCTTAAGGTTATTTTTGAATTTAGCATAGGTCTATCACCTAATTAGTCAACCAGGGTAAACCCACAAGCCTCATTTTAATTTTGATTTGTTGTTGTTTGCTTTTGAAATTAAAAAAACTTTTACTCACCAGTTATTTACCATCACCTGAGGAGGCACAATTTGAGTGCTGAAACATGAAAGCTATTGTGTATTTTTTTAAACAGGTTTTTGTTTTAATCTCATATAATAAATAATAATAAGCTCTACTCTGTATTGAGCCCTTTTTTTAAAAATTAAATGCTACAGACAGAGTAATTATACTCCATTTGTTCTTATACCATACCAGGAGATATATATATATATATATGTATGTATGTATGTATGTATGTATGTACATATATAAAAACAAAAAAAAACTGAACATTTTTACCTCAGATGACAGAGGGAATATTACAGCCATGGAAATTTGGAGAGAGACAGTTTCACAACCAGAGACATCTTGGAGTACTCAAAAACCAACTCCACTGCAGCCTCTCTGCTCTCAAAATACAAATATCACTATCTGAAACTATAGTCCCCCTACACAATTAGATTGGGACACCTGCATAAAAATGGATATTAAATAATTTTATCCGAGTCAGAAGCATCTGGTGTTTTTTATGACTGGCAGCAAAGTCTATGAAGTTAGATCTTCAAAGCAGCCACCCACTTGATCAAAAGAGATAAAATAAATAGGTAAATAAATGAAAACTTTAAGGAAAAAGCAAGTTCCAGTTGCAGGCTTATATTAGCAGAGATTTCTGGGATACCCAATTAGATGTTCATTTGAAACTGGGAGCCACGAGTTATGATGTAGAGATGGGCAGAAGTGCGGTAGGAGAGACATCTTGCTTGCCATAATGAACAGCTGACCTGTTAGTCTATTGTGACCAAAGTAGCAAAAATTGTCACAAGTATCTTCGACCTACCCAAGACCATGTCAAGTGAATCTATGACAATCAAACATATCAGAATCAGGATTCATCTGTGTTAATTTCACTTTTTGTTTTTATTTCCAGCATACACCTCTCCTTTCCTAGTTTTCGTGCAGACTGACGCAAACAAGAATCAAAATGCAATGGGCAGTGAATGACTGTTGTATGTTGACACCTACATGTTCTTTAATATTGACAAAGGAATTTCTTTTTTTTTAATTGCAGTTTTCCAGCAACTGTTGTGTGAAGTGCCCACAGGATGTCAGTGAAACAACAATGTATTCATTCACCTCCCCGAATTCTATAAGTATCTATCAAAACAACAATAAATGGGCCAAAATAACTGTGGTATATATGACTTTACTTTCTTTAAATATAAACATACATACATACATACATACATATACATACATACATATATATATATATATATATATATATATATATATATATATATATATATATCCATCCATCCAACCAACCATCTCTGTAGTAGACATTTGTTTATCTTGTGAGATAAAGGTAGCACCCTATTTGGTCAAAATCCAGTCCTTTGGTGATGAAAATGGAGTGACCTCTCTAGGGTGAAGTCCTGGATGATGCTATATGAAGACCATGCTCTGTCCAGACTACATGATCCCCCCCCACACACACTCAGCCGTATTGAAAAAATCCAAATGAACACTGGGCATCACATTTGGAGATGGCTTGACTGCAGGAGTTGCCGAAAAATTGTCAGTGTTGACAGCCAACCGCCTTCAGTGCTCCAATTCCATGGCCTTTTTTTCTGTCTTTGGATATGACCACAAGGCAATGGAGGTTTAAAATCAGGGTCTTCAGGTGGTCAAGCATTATCTACATAAAGCAGTTGATTATGAGGCTCCAATTTACAATTCTCCAGCTTGAAGCTGGATTTTTATTATATATCTCACTTGTAGAACTCTTTTACGGCTTTGTGCTTTCCAGTCAACTTTAATCTTCAAACCTTTAAATGCAATGTCAGTCATTATCTTTTGTCTTCTTGTTTACTGTTCTTCTATTGTTCTCACTTCATAATAATTTCTTTCTTTATTATTCTTTAACTCTCAGTAACATTTTGTGTCTTAATGTCTTTAAGATTAAATATACAGACAGACCTCTAATCAATGGACTAATAGGTGGGAGGAGTGGTTCATTAAAGCCATATGTCTGTAGATGTAAGAAGCTGTAATTTGTCACTGATACTTAGGTTTGTACGCTTCCATTTTCACATTTTCCTTCTGCTTCGATGCTATAATGAGGGCAGAACAATTAATATATTAATCAAGATAACAAAAATAATAGATTTCACACAGCTACTTCCTCACACAGCTGTCTTTGTTTACAATTGAAAGGCCTGTCACCACTGCCAAGCGGGCACTAATACAACTTGTTTTGCTAAGCTTGCAAATTTTGAAATACATCGCTGATGATTTGGAAGTTTTTTTTTTTTTTCTGCATTATTTTTTAAATTTTTCCTGCAGATTTTTTCTATTGAAGTCAAAGTCTATTGATGGGGTGGGATCCATAGGTGAGAGGTTTTTTCTGCATGTGTGTACATACACACACATATATATATATATATATATATATATATATATATATATATATATATATATATATATATATATATATATATTTATTCCTTCCTCATAATGTGTAACACCTAAACCCCGTTGTTGAGTTTTTACTATATTTTTTTTTTTTTTTTTTTTGTCAAGTGGTCATGGGTTGTTTTTGGTTTAAGCTATATACTCTGTTCCATTTTTTACCTTTTTGGCCAGCTTTACACTGACGATGTGTTTAGGTGAAACCTAGGTAGGTTTGCCTGGTTCTTTAGGGTCTATATATATATATATATAACCTAATATCTATATATGTATAAACCTAATATATATATATAAAAAACTTATATATATATATATAAACCCTATATATATATATATATATATATATATATATATATATATATATAAACCTTATCTATATATATATATATATATATATATATATATAAACCTTATATATATATATATATATATATATATATATATATATATAAACCTTATCTATATATATATATATATATATATATATAAACCTTATCTATATATATATATATATATATATATATATATATATAAAACCTATATATATATATATATATATATATATATATATATAAACCTTATATATATATATATATATATATATAAACCTTATCTATATATATATATAAACCTTATCTATATATATATATATATATATATATATATATATATATATATATATATAAACCTTATCTATATATATATATATATATATATATATATATATATAAACCTTATATATATATATATATATATATATATATATATATATATATATTATAAACCTTATATATATATATATATATATATATATATAAACCTTATCTATATATATATATATATATATATATATATAAACCTTATCTATATATATATATATATATATATATATATAAACCTTATCTATATATATATATATATATATATATATATAAACCTTATCTATATATATATATATATATATATATATATAAAACTTATCTATATATATATATATATATATATATATAAACCTTATCTATATATATATATATATAAGCCTTATATATATATATATATATATATAAACCTTATCTATATATATATATATATATAAACCTTATCTATATATATATATATATATATATATATATAAACCTTATCTATATATATATATATAAACCTTATCTATATATATATATATATATATATATATATAAACCTTATATCTATATATATATATATATATATAAATATATATATATATATATATATATATATATATATATATATATATAAACTATATATATATATATATATATATAAACTATATATATATATATATATATATATATATATATATATATATAAACTATATATATATATATATATATATATATATATTTACAAACCTTATATATATATAAACTTAAAGAGCCAGGCAAACGTTCCTAGGTTTCACCCAAATACATCGTCAGTGTAAAGCCAGCCAAAAAGGTAAAAAATAGAACAGAGTATATAGCTTAAACCAAAAACAATCATGACCACGTTACAAAAAAAAAACACGGCAAAAACTCAACAACGGGGGTTTAGGTGTTACACATTATGAGGAAGGGAGATTTTGAAAATCTAACATATAGAAAGCAGAAGGGAGAGGTATAAGCAACAGGTCGTTTACATGATGAGCTATGGATGACAACTTATTCAGAGGGATAAAAGACAAATGTTACTATGAGCTACAAAGGATAGGAAGTTGTGTATTACCATGATCACCCACATCTTGATGGGACATGGCATATTGAAGAAAAAATTAAACTCTACCAACTTCGAGTTCAAAAGTTTTATCAGAGAAAATGTGTCTCAACAGGAATTGAAACTGTCTACCCTTTAATTTGAGAGACATATAGGGAAATATCAATTTCCTAAATAGAGTAATTGAACCATGCTTTGGTGTGATGGCTTGTTGTAAAAGAAAGACCTTCAGACTCATAGACCTGGAGCCAGTCTACCCATTCGGGCATCGTGAAGCCAGTCTGCCCTCTCGGGCGTCCTGGAGCCAGTCTGCCTTGTTCGGCCGTCCTGGAGCTAATAATTTAGCTACCCTTTAACCAATATCTAATTCATCAACTTTCTTATTATTAAGATGTATTAATGATCGATATTTGAAAACATATATGAAATTTAATTAAGTCAGATCATTTCAGATTATTATGTATTTTTGATAAATGTCTTGCTTTTTCCTTTTCTCTACAGTTTGATGAAATAATGGAGGGCACCTTACCATTGCTGAAAAAAGTTGGACATTTAAGCAACCACATGAATATTCTTCCAATTGATTGGTTAATTTATGATCAGTGTATCTCCTATAGTACAGACCATTATGCAGGTAAATAATTAATTATAATTAATGATCAGTTCATCTTCTGTAGTACAGACCATTATGCAGGTAAATAATTGTAATTAATGATCAGTTCATCTTCTGTAGTACAGACCATTATGCAGATAAATAATTAATTATAATTAATGATCAGTTCATCTCCTAGTACAGACCATTATGCAGGTAAATAATTGTAATTAATGATCAGCTCATCTCCTATAGTACAGACCATTATGCAGGTAAATAATTGTAATTAATGACCAGTTCATCTCCTATAGTACAGACCATTATGCAGGTAAAATAATTGTAATTAATGATCCGCTCATCTCCTATAGTACAGACCATTCTGCAGGTAAATAATTGTAATTAATGATCAGTTCATCTTCTGTAGTACAGACCATTATGCAGGTAAATAATTGTAATTAATGATCAGCTCATCTCCTATAGTACAGACTATTCAGCAGGTAAATAATTGTAATTAATGATCAGCTCATCTCCTATAGTACAGACCATTATGCAGGTAAATAATTGTAATTAATGATCTGTTCATCTTCTGTAGTACAGACCATTATGCAGGTAAATACTTGTAATTAATGATCAGCTCATCTTCTGTAGTACAGACCATTATGCAGATAAATAATTAATTATAATTAATGATCAGTTCATCTCCTATAGTACAGACCATTATGCAGGTAAATACTTGTAATTAATGATCAGCTCATCTCCTATAGTACAGACCATTTTGCAGGTAAATAATTGTAATTAATGATCAGCTCATCTCCTATAGTACAGACCATTATGCAGGTAAATAATTGTAATTAATGATCAGCTCATCTCCTATAGTACAGACCATTCTGCAGGTAAATAATTGTAATTAATGATCAGTTCATCTTCTGTAGTACAGACCATTATGCAGGTAAATAATTGTAATTAATGATCAGCTCATCTCCTATAGTACAGACTATTCAGCAGGTAAATAATTGTAATTAATGATCTGTTCATCTTCTGTAGTACAGACCATTATCTGAGTAAATACTTGTAATTAATGATCAGCTCATCTCCTATAGTACAGACCATTTTGCAGGTAAATAATTGTAATTAATGATCTGTTCATCTTCTGTAGTACAGACCATTATGCAGGTAAATACTTGTAATTAATGATCAGCTCATCTCCTATAGTACAGACCATTATGCAGGTAAATAATTGTAATTAATGATCTGTTCATCTTCTGTAGTACAGACCATTATGCAGGTAAATACTTGTAATTAATGATCAGCTCATCTCCTATAGTACAAACCATTTTGCAGGTAAATAATTGTAATTAATGATCTGTTCATCTTCTGTAGTACAGACCATTATGCAGGTAAATAATTGTAATTAATGACCAGTTCATCTCCTATAGTACAGACCATTATGCAGGTAAATAATTGTAATTAATGATCCGCTCATCTCCTATAGTACAGACCATTCTGCAGGTAAATAATTGTAATTAATGATCAGTTCATCTTCTGTAGTACAGATCATTATGCAGGTAAATAATTGTAATTAATGATCAGCTCATCTCCTGTAGTACAGACCATTATGCAGGTAAATAATTGTAATTAATGACCAGTTCATCTCCTATAGTACAGACCATTATGCAGGTAAATACTTGTAATTAATGATCAGCTCATCTCCTATAGTACAGACCATTCTGCAGGTAAATAATTGTAATTAATGATCAGTTCATCTTCTGTAGTACAGACCATTATGCAGGTAAATAATTGTAATTAATGATCAGTTCATCTTCTGTAGTACAGACCATTATGCAGATAAATAATTAATTATAATTAATGATCAGTTCATCTCCTATAGTACAGACCATTATGCAGGTAAATAATTGTAATTAATGATCAGCTCATCTCCTATAGTACAGACCATTATGCAGGTAAATAATTGTAATTAATGACCAGTTCATCTCCTATAGTACAGACCATTATGCAGGTAAATAATTGTAATTAATGATCCGCTCATCTCCTATAGTACAGACCATTCTGCAGGTAAATAATTGTAATTAATGATCAGTTCATCTTCTGTAGTACAGACCATTATGCAGGTAAATAATTGTAATTAATGATCAGCTCATCTCCTATAGTACAGACTATTCAGCAGGTAAATAATTGTAATTAATGATCAGCTCATCTCCTATAGTACAGACCATTATGCAGGTAAATAATTGTAATTAATGATCTGTTCATCTTCTGTAGTACAGACCATTATGCAGGTAAATACTTGTAATTAATGATCAGCTCATCTTCTGTAGTACAGACCATTATGCAGATAAATAATTAATTATAATTAATGATCAGTTCATCTCTATAGTACAGACCATTATGCAGGTAAATACTTGTAATTAATGATCAGCTCATCTCCTATAGTACAGACCATTTTGCAGGTAAATAATTGTAATTAATGATCAGCTCATCTCCTATAGTACAGACCATTATGCAGGTAAATAATTGTAATTAATGATCAGCTCATCTCCTATAGTACAGACCATTCTGCAGGTAAATAATTGTAATTAATGATCAGTTCATCTTCTGTAGTACAGACCATTATGCAGGTAAATAATTGTAATTAATGATCAGCTCATCTCCTATAGTACAGACTATTCAGCAGGTAAATAATTGTAATTAATGATCTGTTCATCTTCTGTAGTACAGACCATTATGCAGGTAAATACTTGTAATTAATGATCAGCTCATCTCCTATAGTACAGACCATTTTGCAGGTAAATAATTGTAATTAATGATCTGTTCATCTTCTGTAGTACAGACCATTATGCAGGTAAATACTTGTAATTAATGATCAGCTCATCTCCTATAGTACAGACCATTATGCAGGTAAATAATTGTAATTAATGATCTGTTCATCTTCTGTAGTACAGACCATTATGCAGGTAAATACTTGTAATTAATGATCAGCTCATCTCCTATAGTACAGACCATTTTGCAGGTAAATAATTGTAATTAATGATCTGTTCATCTTCTGTAGTACAGACCATTATGCAGGTAAATAATTGTAATTAATGACCAGTTCATCTCCTATAGTACAGACCATTATGCAGGTAAATAATTGTAATTAATGATCCGCTCATCTCCTATAGTACAGACCATTCTGCAGGTAAATAATTGTAATTAATGATCAGTTCATCTTCTGTAGTACAGATCATTATGCAGGTAAATAATTGTAATTAATGATCAGCTCATCTCCTGTAGTACAGACCATTATGCAGGTAAATAATTGTAATTAATGACCAGTTCATCTCCTATAGTACAGACCATTATGCAGGTAAATACTTGTAATTAATGATCAGCTCATCTCCTATAGTACAGACCATTTTGCAGGTAAATAATTGTAATTAATGATCAGCTCATCTCCTGTAGTACAGACCATTATGCAGGTAAATAATTGTAATTAATGATCAGTTCATCTTCTGTAGTACAGATCATTATGCAGGTAAATAATTGTAATTAATGATCAGCTCATCTCCTATAGTACAGACCATTCTGCAGGTAAAGGCAAGAAAAAGATTTACAAAAACAAAAACTTTACAAGTAAGAAAACAGAAATATAAATACAGATTACTTAAAATAAATATTTTTTTTACTTATTCTCAATGACTGAACAGTTGTACATCGCAAGTCTGGCGAAGAACTTGTTACATTTGTATGAAAGTCTATGGAAATGTCTTCATATATGTGTCTATAGCTGCTTGTATGTTTATGTATTCATGCTCGTGTTAGGGTTTGTGTGTAAATGTAATTGTGTGTATAGATGTTTGCATGTGTGTGTAAATGTATACATATGTGAGTATAGCTGTTTCTGTGTATGTAAATGTATTTATGTGTGTATAGATGTGTATGTGTGTAAATGTATTCATACATGTGAGGAGATGCTGGTGTGTATATACATTTCATATGTGCATATATATATATATATATATATGTGTGTGTAATATCTGCGTGGGTTCATGCATATATCCTTATTGGAGCAACTAAATGTTAAAATGGAATAAAAACAACAAATCATGTCCTAACCTGAGAAGAATCTTCTTCAGTTGTTTTAATGATTTAATCGAGGGGGTGAGCAAGAAATGTAATCTCTTCTAGTTATAACTTTAAATTGAAAATGCTAAAGGTACAAAGAGATGTAGCTCTAAATTAAAATTTTTTATGTATGATGTAGTGAGATCTATAACTCAACCACCTTATTCAGCTTTTTATTGCCTTTAAGAGGTTTTGTCATTCAATTATTCACTATGAGTCTGATACATAAATTTGTATATCATCCCTTTCATATGTATATGTGTGTGTGTGTATATGTGTGAGGTGTCACCAAAAAGTTTATAAATATTGCCTATTTGATTCGTATCTTATATATATATAAATGGACATTGAAATCAACACCCAGAGGTGACAGTCTGTTTCATGCTAAATGCAGTTGTCATGGCTTAATGATTGTGTTTAGCATGAAACAGAATTTTGCCACTAGGTGTTGACTTTAATGTTCAACTTTATATTTACATTCTCTCTCTCTCTCTCTCTCTCTCTCTCTCTATATATATATATATATATATATATATATATATATATATATAGATATAGATATATTTAAGTTATGAAGAACTTGGTAAACCGAATTGGTAAATCCAAGGAGGATGAAATCCTGAGAGCTCAATGTGAAGAACAGAACTAATATTTAATGAAAAACAGGCACCTTAAAGTGTCTGTTTTTCATTAAATATATATATATATATATAAACAAGGTTTTCACGAAATTGATTTGATTTTTTTTAAACTTTATAAGAAATTTTTGGAAAAATGAAAAACAATTTCCATGGAAACTTACATAAGAGAAACATGTTTCCTATTTGTTTCCTTATCCTGTCATTCTGGTAGATTCTAATCCATATTTGATCCCCATTCACACACACATATATATATATATATATATATATATATATACA